TCTTCTATCCATATCACCAATAATTTTTCCATATCGTGAATAGGACCTTGTCTTCTCTTTGATATTATAGTTCCCTTTATAGGTGTTGTTCCTTTCACTACTTCACGAATACATTCCTTGTCCTTCAGAATAGTGGATATAGTCGAGTGCGAGAAACCTAGGTCGCGTGAGATTGTTGCTACTGTTTTTCCATTCTCATGCTGTGTTATTATCTTCATTTTTATCTCAAAAGTAATTGCCTATCTCCTTTTCTTTGGAACACCACCAACACTCTCACTTTTACGCTTTCCAGTCATTATAAAGTCAATTAAATACGATAATAACGAAAGTTCACAGCGCGATCAGTATAGGATACGATAGCCAAACACAAACTAAGCGCTCCACTGAGTGAGTGTACCCATGAGGCGACCCGAGATGTGCCACCCTCTTGCCCCGGACGGAAACGTTTCGGTATAGAAAATCGCACGTCATTTGAAAATATTTTTGGTCACGACTGCCGCGGTCGTATGTCCCGACGGACGTACGGTCAGAGCAGGTTGTAAGTATCAATGGATGTAAGTCCATGTGGTCGTAAGTCGGGGACTACCTATAATGGACACAACTCCCCCCCTCTTCCACGCTCGCTGGCTCCTCCCTCTCTGAGAAATTTTTGGGTGAAAACACTAGGCTTACATTTTTAGTAATAAATAATACCACAGACTAAAGTTAGGATAATATAATTGACATTGCTGGATTCCTTGCAAGACTGCCAATAATTTGAATTTAAACGTCATATATATTGCACAAAAGATAAAATTTTTGCGCTTTCTAATCAAAATTCTTACATTAGATCTAAAATTTGTACAGTCAACCCTCACTTTACGCGGTCCCACATTCCGGGTTTCCACGTTTACACGGTGCCCTGCCAGAACCCAGGATGCTCACATTCCGCGGTGGGTGTACCCCTTTACGCGGGTGAAGTATAATTTTTTTATTTAGCTCATAAAATTCATACAAATTATCCGGCCAGAATATAATTTACATTACTGGAATTCTTACAATTTGATGATCATTTTGAATATAAACATCATAGATTTTGCATTAGACATACAAATTTTAGATATAATGTTTACTCTGAGTAAATATGTTATCTTTTGTGCAAAATATATGACATTTATATTCAAAATATTCCTGGTCTTACAAGGAATCCAGCAATGTCAATTATATTATCCTAACTTTAGTCTGATTTATTATTTATTACTAAAAAGGTAAACAGTCTGGTATTCCCACACATTCATCTGGTAGGGAGGGTTGGTGGGGGGTGGGAGGGAGGAAGGGACCGGCGACCGACCACCTGGCACGTGTGAAGAATATTTTTTTTTATTAACTGAAGATATTTGTTTTAGCTCATAAAATTCATACAAATTACCCGGCCAGAATATAATTTACATTGCTGGAATTCTTGCAATTTGATGATCATTTTGAATATAAACATCATATATTTTGCATTAGACATACAAATTTTAGATATAATGTTTACTCTGAGTAAATATGTTATCTTTTGTGCAAAATATATGACATTTATATTCAAAATATTCCTGGTTTTACAAGGAATCCAGCAATGTCAATTATATTATCCTAACTTTAATCTGAGGTATTATTTAATACTAAATGTTAAAATCTAGTTTTTTCACCCAACCTTTCTCTTGAAGGGAGGGTTGGTGGGGGGTGGGGGGAGGGTTGGGACAGACCGACCATCTGGCTGGTTGAAAGAGGGGGGAAGGCAAGGTGGGGTACTTTGATTGACATATAGTGTCGTGAAGAATATTTTTTTTTTTATTAACTGAAGATATTTGTTTTAGCTCATAAAATTCATACAAATTACCCGGCCAGAATATATTTACACTGTTGGAATTTTTACAATTTGATGATCATTTTGAATATAAACATCATAGATTTTGCATTAGACATACAAATTTTAGATATAATGTTTACTCTGAGTAAATATGTTATCTTTTGTGCAAAATATATGACATTTATATTCAAAATATTCCTGGTCTTACAAGGAATCCAGCAATGTCAATTATATTATCCTAACTTTAGTTTGAGGTATTATTTATTACTATACCTGGTTTTCCCCCAAAAATTTCTGAGAGAGAAGAGCCAGCGAGTGTAGTGTGAGAAGAGGGGGAGGGAACTGAGTCCATTATTTGAATGGACATTAACTTGGCGACTGTATTTCTCTATTTCTCTTAAGTATTAATTGTGTGCATGTACCATCATAAAATTAAGATGTTATTTTTACTAGAACATAGGTATTGTGTTGGAAAAAGTGGAGTTTGGGGGTCAGCTGGTCTCTATTTCATTTAATCCCATATGTTATGTTATTCACTTTACGCGTTTCTCACTTTCCGCGGTACCCTGTGGGTTACATTAACCGCGTAAAGTGAGGGTTGACTGTATGTCGAATGCAAATTTAATGATGTTTATATTTAAAATAATCACAATCTTATAAGAATTCCAGCAATGTAAATTATATTCTGGCCGGGTAATTTGTATGAATTTTATGAGCTAAAACAAATATCTTCAGTAAATAAACAAATTATACTTCACCCAGACACTATCTGTGAATCAAAATACCCCGCCTCCGCTCCCCCCCTCTTCCCACGCTCGCTGGGTCCCTCCCTCCCTACCTTCCCTCCATACCAGAGAAATGTTTGGGTGAAAACAGTAAGCTTACATTTTTAGTAATAAATAATACCTCAGACTAAAGTTAGGATAATATAATTGACATTGCTGGATTCCTTGCAAGACAAGGAATATTTTGAATATAAACGTCATATATTTTGCACAATAGATTAAATTTTTACTCTTTCTAATCAAAATTCTTACATTAGATCTAAAATTTGTATGTCTAATGCAAATTTTATGATGTTTATATTTAACATAATCACAATCTTATAAGAATTCCAGCAATGTAAATTATATTCTGGCCTGGTAATTTGTATGAATTTTATGAGCTAAAACAAATATCTTCAGTAAATACAGTAAACAAATTATACTTCACCCGCGTAAATGACCAAATTTACCTCGTAATTAAAGCATTTCAATCTGGCAAGGCACCGCGTAAATGACCAAACGCATAAACAAAAGCCACGTAAATGCAGACTCCACTGTATCTCAATAAAAAATGGTTAAAATAGTTGGTTGGGCCTTAACTTGATACTTTCAATTTTAAGTCAGAGACAAAATTAAGATAAGTGGTTTAAGCACAAATTTTTGTGAAGTGGATATGCAGGAACCCAAGAATAAATCTTATTCATAATATTATACAGTACAGTGATATCTCCGTAAGTCGGAACAGTTGGTGCAGAACACTTCCGGGAATGAGAGATTTTCAGGTAATGAGACAACTCTCTCAAAGCCCGAAAAAATCCCCCATCCCCTGAATTTTCTGGGTAACAGAAAAATTTTCTCAGAAAAGCCAGAAATTGCCCATTACATCATCTCTCAAACTCAGAAAAATATCCCTCATCCCCGGAATTTTCCAGGTACAGTCAACCCTTGCTTTACGCGGTCCCACTTTACGCGTTTCCACGTTTACGCGGTACCCTGCCAAACACGGAATGCTCACTTTCCGCGGTGTGTGTACCCTTTTACGCGGAGAGCGGCGCGAGCAGGGTGCGCACAAGGTCGCCCAGTCATCAAAACATTACCGAGTTCTTCACCCGCCACCCACCACAGCCGGCCCAAGTCAGTGATAGTGATAATGATAGTGAGGATATGGATTTATATGGACTTAGAGGGGTTTGACAAAGAGGCCCTGCAAGCCTCTGTGGTGGATAGTGATACAATTGATACAAGTGATACAGGTGAGGGCCAACAATCTGCCCTCTGCCTCGGAACCAACCCCCCATCCCCGTGTGTCCAGCCATCTTTTCTACTAATGTAAGTGTTAAAAAACCTAATACAGTGGGGTATGCTATAACGAACGGATCCTACTACGAATATTCCTATAACGAACGGTTTTACCTATACAATTGAGAATGCTATAACGAACGAAACTCCTACAACGAACATTATTTTAAATAAATTTTTTTTTTTTTTTTTTTTTTTACTAATTTATTGTTTTTTATTACAAGTATTAATGATATTCTTTATTTCACGGGTTTAGATGCATATTTATGCACTTTTTTACGATTTTTACAATTTTATATTATATTTTTCAGTGTTAAGTGGTTGTATTTGGGGGCCTGGAACGGATTAATCCTATAACGAACGAATGCTATAACGAACAAGGTTCTAGAACCAATTAGATTCGTTATAGCATACCCCACTGTATTATTGATATTTCTCTTAATTATTAATTGCGTGTGCATACCATCATAAAATTAAGAAGTTATTTTTATTACAACGTAGGTATTGTGTCTGAAAAAGTGGAATTTGGGGGTCGGCCCGGTCTCTATTTCAATTAATCCCATATGTTATGTTGTTCACTTTACGCGTTTCTCACTTTACGCGGGCCGCCGTGGGTTCAATTGACCGCACAAAGTGAGGGTTCACTGTACTTCTTTTTTCTTGGAATTTCTGGAGTGTGCGCCTGATTTTCATCTCTCAAACCAGAAAAAACTCCTCCATCACCAGAATTTTCCGGGTATGTATCGGGAAAATTTTCTCAAAATTTTCCGAAAAATGTGCCTCTCGGAAAATCGTTCTCAAAGCCAGAATTTTCTGGAAAATTATGGCATTGGGAACAATTTTTCAAGAGAATTTCAATGCTGGTTATCGGAGAGTTCTGGGTTCAAGGTATTGCAGCTATCGGAGATATTACTAGTAATATTTTCAGTTCTACTGTTCCCCCATATACGTAGTCTTAAATAATTTAGTTTTACTGTCCTTGATAAATAAAAAATGAATGATGCAATAAGTATCACAGGAGATATATTTGTAAAGTTCTTTACCAGAAACATATTCCTTTACAGTGCAGTGCGAGGCAAATGACAACTCTTGGGAAAACTTACCCTTAACGAGCCACCTCCTGATATCCGGCTGAAATTTCCAGTGTTCTGACTTTTGTCAGGATTTAAGGGGATGTAACTGCCACAGCAGTAGTTTGGTCTGTCTAAGAAAAGATTGGAAAATATAATTATAAATAGACAAACATTTTACTCAGCACATATTTATTGTTTATATATTTTGAGGGAGAGGCCAGCCAGTCAGCCAGCTTCACCAAGCTAAACAGATAAGCAGTGACTAGCCTAAATATGGTAAGATACGTAAGATACGGTAAACACAATGCAGAGTATGCATTGAAACATTACATTGGAGGGAGGAGTACAGGTGACAGCTAGTAGCCTGATATGTTACAATAATCTAGGTTCTGCAGTCCGGACTGTAACATAGACAATTTTTCTGTCCTTAAATTTAAAATCTAGAATTGGAAATATGCTGAAGGATGCCATTACAGGTATCCCTCGCTTTATAAACATTCATGCTACAAGTCTCTTTCTTATTTTACGAAAGCTACCCTCACTTATACAAATTTTGATCCCAGCCAAACTTCAAATTGCGTGCCCTCGGGAGTCAGCTGGGATATCCATCTTGGAATGATGTGCAAGGACGTATTCTCGCTACTGTTAGTCCAGCAGTGAAAGTGGGTATTTGACCTCAACCTCAAAGTGTTTGATATAGTTTTTTCTCTTTTAATTCTTCTTCTATAGGGTCTCAGTGAACAGTTCCAGGTGGGTGTGGAGTTCTCTCCCTTGGGCAATTTTAATAATTCAAGATGGCTGCCATCACCCCATTAAGGAAGCTCATTTGTCGTATTTCTCTGATACTGTTGGGTATTTCGGTATGAAAATATTGTTTACTATACTTAACAACATTTTATATGTTGCATTGTTATGCTGATCCTGATATTTTATGATCTATACTGTTCATAATACACTTACAGAGTTAAATTTTACTGACTCACCAAATTTGAATTGTATAATAAAGACGGATTTCAACAAGCGAATGAGATAATGTACAGTATAGTCTCGGTTTACGCGGTCAATTAAACCCATGGAGGTCCATTTAATACGAGAAATGCGTAAACGAAATAACAGAACATATGGGATTAATTGAAATAGAGACTGGGCCAACCCCCAGACTACCCTTTTTCCGACACAATACGTACATTGTAGTAAAAATAACATCTTAATTTTATGATAGTATGCACACATAATTAATATTTAAGAGAAATACAGTCATGCGCTGGTTCAACCGAACAACGTCCGATCGCATATAAGTCCGTGGCCCATGAAAAAATATTTGAAAAAAAAAAAAACATTCAAATAATGGGACATAGCGAACGTAAGTGGTCTTAGAGCGGGTGCAGTCACGTTTGCATTACGATGCAAAGACATTATGTTATTTTATTAGCCTTCCTAACCTCTATGTTTCATTAGTTGTGTACGTTATCTAGTGAATTTAGCCAATATTGTACAGTACAAGTACACTGCAACACAGTGGTCCCTCGGTTAACAAGGGACCACTTCACATATTTTCATTCATTTACATGCACACACCGCACTAAAACAAACGTAAAAGAAATAAATGACCTAAGTGCAAACCTGTACTGTACATGTTCTAAATGATTACTGTACTAAAATTGTTATGTCTATTGCAAATATAGCTTGTTTATATTCAAATTAATCACTATCTTACAAGAATCCCAGCAATGTAAATTATATTCTCCCAGGTTGTTTGGGTGGCAAATTATAAGAGAAAAGCTTAGTCACTCTTAAGGACTGATAAATAAACACACAGACCTTCAGCGCCAACTGTCAAAACATATCTCCTCACCTTCCGCTCCCTCCCCCCCCACCCCTCGCTCTCCCCCATCTGCCCAGCCAGGGTTTTGGGCTTTAAGTTTTTCATATAATATCACAGACTAAAGTTAGGAGAATATAATTGGCATTAATGGAATCCTTGCAAGACAGCGAATAATTTGAATATGAACGTCATATATTTTGCACAAAAGATAAAATTTTTGCTCTCTCTAATAAAATTCTTAAATTAGATCTAAAATTTGTATGTCTAATGCAAATTTTAGCTTGTTTATATTCAAATTAATCACTATCTTATAAGAATTTCAATCATGTAAATTATATTCTGTTCTGGTCATTTCTATGAATTTTATGAGCTAAAAACAAAAACTCAAGTAAATAAACAAATTGTACTTCACCAGACGCACTATCTGTCAATCAAAATACACCTCACCTCCCGCTCCCCCCCTCTTCCCACACTCGCTGGCTCCCTCCCTTCCTCCCAACCTACCCCCCCGCCTTCCCAGACAAAAGTCTGGTGGTTTCGTTAGGGTTTAAAGTGTTTATCTTATATAATATCTCAGACTAAAGTTAGAATATAATTTGCATTGCTGGAACCCTTGCAAGACAGCGAATAATTTGATTATAAACGTCATATATTTTGCTCAAGAGATAAAAATTGTAGTACATTAGTGTACAGTCCTGTAGTACATTTTATAATATACGGTCAACCCTCGCTTTACACGGTTCCACTTTACGCATTTCCACGTTTACTTGGTACCCTGCCGAACACGGAATGCTCACTTTCCGCGGTGTGTGTACCCTTTTACGCGGAGAGCGGCGCGAGCAGGGTGCGCACAAGGTCGCCCAGTCATCAAAACATTACCGAGTTCTTCACCCGCCACCCACCACAGCCGGCCCAAGTCAGTGATAGTGATAATGATAGTGAGGATATGGACTTATATGGACTTTTAGGGGTTTGACAAAGAGGCCCTGCAAGCCTCTGTGGTGGATAGTGATACAATTGATACAAGGGATACAGGTGAGGCCTGCCTCGGAACCAACCCCCCATCCCCGTGTGCCCAGCCACCTTTTCTACTAATGTAAGTGTTAAAAAACCTAATATTATTTATATTTCTCTTAATTATTAATTGTGTGTGCATACCATCATAAAATTAAGAAATTATTTTTACTACAACGTAGGTATTGTGTCTGAAAAAGTGGAGTTTGGGGGTCGGCCCGGTCTCTATTTCAAGTAATCCCATATGTTATGTTGTTCACTTTACGCATTTCTCACTTTACGAGGGCCGCCGTGGGTTCAATTGACCGCGTAAAGTGAGGGTTCACTGTAAAGTTTTTTAACTGTATTTTTGGGTAGATTTACATAAATTTCTTCATTTATTTTCATCCATTTACATACACACCGCACTAAAAGAAACGTAAAAGAAATAAATGACCGTAGTGCAAAGCTGGAGTGTGCATGTACTAAATTGATTACAGTACTAAAATTGTTATGTCTAGTGCAAATTATAGCCTGTTTACATTCAAATTAATCACTATTTCACAAGAATCCCAGCAATGTAAATTATATTCACCCAGGCCATTTCACTGGCTTTTTATAAGAGAGAAGCTTAGTCACTTAAAGACTGATAAATAAACACGCATTAGACCTTGGGCGCCAACTGTTAAACGTACCATCTCACCTCCCACTCCCCTCCCTCCCTCCCTCCCTCCCTCCCTCCCTCCCTCCCTCCCTCCCTCCCTCCCTCCCTCCCTCCTCCTCCTCCCTCCCTCCCTCCCTCCCTCCCTCCCTCCCTCCCTCTCCCCCATCTGCCCATCCAGGGTTTTAGGCTTACAGTTTTTATCTTATATAATACCACAGACTAAAGTTAGGAGAATATAATTTGCATTGCTGGAATTCTTGTAAGATGGCGAATAATTTGAATATAAACGTCATATATTTTGCACAAGAGATAAAAATTAATCACCTTTATCACATTACAGTAGTGATTTAAGAGTAGGAGTGTATATATAGTATTCCACATACACGTAAGTATAAATACAAAGTTTATGTGATGATCGGACAACGTCCATTTCGGTTAACGTCACATTTTCAAGAACGTATCTAGGGCATTAACCGGCGCATGACTGTATCAATAATATTAGGTTTTTAACACTTACGTTAGTAGAAGAGATGGCTGGGCACACAGGGATGGGGGGTTGGTTCCGAGGCAGAGGGCAGATTATTGGCCCTCACCTGTATCACTTGTATCACCTGTATCACTTGTATCACTATCCACCACAGAGGCTTGCAGGGCCTCTTTGTCAAACCCCTCAAAGTCCATATCCTCACTATCACTATCACTGACTTGGGCTGGCTGTGGTGGGTGGCGGGTGAAGAACTCGGTAATGTTTTGTTGACTGGGAGACCTAGCGCGCACCCTGCCCGCGCCGCTTCGTACGTAAATGATGGAATGTACTGCGTAACTAGTAATTGCCGTTCTGGCCAGGTGCCGCGTAAATGACCAACCTCGTAAAGGAAATCCGCGTAAATCGAGACTATACTGTATATGAATAGTGTTTTACTCCACAGTATATATTATGTCAAGATTAATAACTAGAAACAATAATACCCCGCTTTACGCGGTTCTCGTTTACGCGTTTCTACATTTACGCGGTACCTAGCCAGAACTGGAATTCCCACTTTACGCGGTGCATCTACTCATATACGCAAGTGAAGTATAATTTTTTTTATTTAGCTCATAAAATTCATACAAATTACCCGGCCAGAATATAATTTACATTGCTGAAATTCTTGCAATATGATGATCAATTTGAATATAAACATCATGGATTTTGCATACGACATACAAATTTTAGATCTAATGTAAGAATTTTGTTTACACAGAGCAAATATATTATCTTTTGTACAAAATATATGACGTGTATATTCACAATATTCCTGGTCTTGCAAGGAATCCAGCAATGTCAATTATATTATCCTAACTTTAGTCTGATGTATTATTTATTTCTAAAAATGTAAATATACTGTTTTAACCAAAACATTTCTCTGGTAGGGAGGGAAGGTGGGGGGTGGGGGGTAGGGAGGGAGAGAGGGACCCAGCGAGCGTGGGAAGAGGGGGGGAGCCAGAGGTGGGGTATTTTGATTCACAGATAGTGTCTGGGTGAAGTATATTTTTTTTTATTTACTGAAGATATTTGTTTTAACTCATAAAATTCATACAAATTACCTGGCCAGAATATAATTTACATTGCTGGAATTCTTGCAATATGATGATCATTTTGAATATAAACATCATGGATTTTGCATTAGACATACAAATTTTAGATCTAATGTAAGAATTTTGTTTACACAGAGCAAATATGTTACCTTTTGTGCAAAATATATGACGTGTATATTCAAAATATTCCTGGTCTTGCAAGGAATCCAGCAATGTCAATTATATTATCCTAACTTTAGTCTGATGTATTATTTATACTATACCTTAAAATCTAGTGTTTTCACCCAAGCATTTCTCAGAGAGGGAAGAGCCAGCAAGCTTGGGAAGATGGGGGGGGGGGTTGAGTCCATTATTTGAAAGGCCATTAACCTGGCGACTGTATTTCTCTTAAATATTAATTGTGTGTGCATACCATCATAAAATTAAGATGTTATTTTTACTACAACATGGGTATTGTGTCGGAGAAAGTGGAGTTTGTGAGTAAGCCCAGTCTCTATTTCAATTAATCCCATATGTTCTGTTATTCCATTTACACGTTTCTAGTTTTACACGGACCTCCGCTGGTTCAATTGACCGCGTAATTCGGGGTATTACTGTACAGTAGTATCTCCAATACTGTATAATCAAACATCTTCCATATAATAATCACATTATTACTATTATGCTAATTGTGCATCAGTTGTGATCAAAGAAATACTTCATCATTTCGATAATAACTTGGTGTATGCATGTACGTATCAGTAGCTTATATGCATGTAATTGAAACATCATCATCATCATCATCACCATGATTACAGTCATTTGCCTCATTTTCATCATCATCCTGCATTTGGAGACATTCCATTGTTCTTCTCGTCGTAGCATGTACATGTACTTGGCTTTCACTGGCAAGTGCAGAACTCGGTGCATGTGATGTTGGTGCTGTTACACCCACAACGTTTTGTCTTACAGGCTAACTCACTCTCACACGTGCACCTTATTAAACTGAGTAATTCATCTGGTGCCATATAGGACAGGACTCATAAGTGGCTGGTTGGCATCTGCTGCATGTGCCCTTGCTACATTTTCCTTGAACTTCTGTGTTTGGAAGTAAGGATGACAACTTAGGAGCAGCAATAATGGAAAGAGATACTTTACTGGCCCATATTTTCTGTCTGGATTCTGTCATTTTTTGACATCTGGGCTGGCTGTAGCATGATCGTTCATATTTTATCTGTCTGGTTTTGTGCTATAATTTCATTATTATGTTCACCGTGACACCCAAGCATTATGCTGATTCTTCAGCTACCCATACTACACTGAGGAAAATTGAAAAGGCTGTGACTCTTCAGACAAAACTGGAGGTTATAGAGTGCCATGAACATGGTGGGGGCCCTAAGAAAATCATGAAAGATCTTGGTCCGTCTTCAAACCATGGACGACTCCTGCATCTTCAACCTCCAATCCCACTCCCTTCACCAACGGATTTTCTTCCACTCTCCACCTCTGGTGGACAACAGTGATGAGGTGAACAGTCCTCCTCATCTAGCTGAGTAAGGCCCTTACTCAGCCCACCTCTCGTCACCCTTTGTGGTGAGCCCTGACTGCCCTACTTAAGGTAATGCACCAAAGTTATCCTGAAATTTATTAATTGTTTTAATGTGTTAGGTAGAAAATTACAGTACAGTAGTTGGGTACTATTTTTCATTAGTTAGGTAGGTTTTTTCATTGTTCATGTACAGATTTCATGTTTTTGGGATATAATATTGGTGTTTTCTTGTCGTTGGGGAACTGAGTCCAATTTTTCCCATTTGTTCTGTTATTCAAGATATGTACAGTCACCTAACGAATGGTTGTCAACGAACCTAACCCACATTGAGCGAGGGATACCTGTATTCCTTCTATTAAGTTGAACATTTTGTTAATGCTAATACTTTATGCTATATCACAGAAAATCATGTAAAAATACTAAATCTTACATAAGAATGCCAATCTTGTTAGTCTGCAAGTTACTTCAAAATTTTATGGTGTTTGTGGAAATATTACATTTAAATACATTGTACTGAATTATGCAAACATTTCTTATGTGGCTACACATAGGTAAATATAAATAATTTTATTGAACTGAATTAATTTTTAGCAAATATGATGTACAGTATACTGTACTGTATTTATCACATTGTACAGTATCAGTAAACAGGGCAACAGATTGTGGACACATATCTCTTTCATCACCTTTATGATAAGAATTTATTTCCTTATTGATACAAAAGTGTTGGAATTTATTTTTAATTAATTAATCACTGGGGCCTTGCAGTCCTTCATACCTGGGGACCCTGGAGCAACTGCCATTTTTACCCATATGTTATTCCACCACTGATGAGTGTTGTATCCATAATGAAAAAATCATCATCACTGTTTTACTGCCTTTTCCAGTCTTATGTGGGTTAGTCATGATTACCTTGTGGCAGTTCTCCAAGCTGCATAGTCTTTTGTAGTCTCTCTGTCAGGTGCTTATCTCTGATGTCATTTCTCACAAACCTCCTGGTGGAGTGCTCCAGTCTTAGAGATCTTCGTCATAAGCACTCTCAATGCCCTACCACATCTTTAAAATTTAAAAATATTTTACCTTCATAATAGCTGGCCTCGGCTGAGCGTCGTTTCCGTTGAGATGAAGTAAGGAAACCTTTATTTATAACTGCTCTTCCTCCATCTGTAACCTGTCAAAACAGAGGTAAGGAATTAATGAATCTGTTTGAAATTTGCCTTGTTATTCCTAGATACAGTTTATTTATCCAAAATTACTAGTCATTATATTTGTAATGCTTACAGATACACTGGAAGAAATAGACCTTAAATTTTATCAAAACCAAAATGCCTTAAATTTACCTTGGACATTACTAGTATTTCTGGCCAACCCCCTCTGATAGACAACTCCTCATAACACATGCTGCCAGTTGGAGTGTTCTTTGGTCTTAGACAACTCCCAACTATTCAGTATTCCAGGGTAATATGTCTTTTAGTGTACAAATGATTCAACATTAGGACTTCAATATTTTGTATTGGTTAAAATTGCCATAATAGGTGATGCTTAAAACTAACCCATATTTCCCCATTACTTGCTGCAAAAAGACAACACAAGGTCATTAAATATAAATTTCCTGAATAGTAAAGAAATTTCATATCACTTATACATATCAATGTGAAAATGTTCCTATACAAGGGATGTAATGGGGGGAAATATCTGTAATTTGTTGTCTCTATGAATCACAGAACCTAATTCCTATTTTCCCATGGCTAAACAGATATGTGATGACACAACTCATTAAAGAATTTTACCACTTGTAACAACAATGGTGTACTGTAACTGGATTTGAGATCAGATTTATTTTCATTTTTTTTAAGTATGTACTGTATAGTAATTCACAAAAAATTCCAATCTGCCATGATAGTAATAAGAATTTCTTATGGTTTAATGGTTGTCCGTGGCCTGGGAGAGTGCAGCTTGGTACTGTTTGCCAAGTAAGAAGCCTTAGACTTGCTGTAATTATAGTACAGCTGCTCCCTGACTTACGACGGGGTTAGGGACCCAAATCCAGGTCGTAAGTTCGAAATGGTCGTAAGTCGAAAATGCAAAAAATAATACATAGAAAATTTAAAATGAAATACAGTACAGAAAAAGTAATCAATAATGAAGAATGGATACAGTGTGACTGTGCACTTACCTTTAATGTAGTCAGCTGAATGCACATGGAGCCCCCATAATTTTCTAATTATACATGGAGACTACATTAAATTGGATGAAGCAGAGGAGGAGACAGGGCTGGGTGGGTCATTAATGTCGCTTTCTTCAGACAAGTTAAAATACAGGGGAAAATTGCTTATTGAAGGTATTGGATCATCTTTAGGGAGTGAAGAAGCAGCACTGGTGGGGCGTGAGCAGACAGCAATGGAGGACTTCTTAAAATATATGTCCAATTTAGACTGCACAGTTTGCTTTTTCTTTTCATCATAAATTTCCCTGTAGCAAGCAAGTGCATCTTGGACCATTCTGTCAACTTTGGCAAAATGCTCAACATTTTGATCCATTCCGTCAAACATTTGCATCCCCTTATTAATTGTAGCAAATGCCTCTGCCATTTGCTTCACAGTAAAATTTTTGGGGGTGCAGGTTCTTCTTCTACATTTAGACTCACTTCTTCCTCTGCATTTTTCTGTGCTTCCAGATCAATAAGATCCTCGTTACTTAGCTCTTCTGCTACACTTTCAACCAACTGTTCAACATCTTCATTATCAATTTCTAACTCAAGCTGTTTACCCAACTCCACTATCTTGTTACTAATCTCAGAAATTACTTCATCTTCATTAAATCCTCTGAAACTGTTCACATATCTTTTCAGGACTTTCTTCCATATTCCATTCATGCACTGACCTGTAACCTCATCCCATGCTGCAGCTGTGTTCTTCATACATTTCAAATTGTTGTACTCCTTCCAAAACTGTCTGAGCGTTTTCTTACCTTCAGTTAGCAGCAACAGCCTGAGCGAAGGTCATACGTAAATAATACGCTTTAATAGCAGCAATAGCACCTTGATCCATGGGTTGGATGATAGAGGTAGTGTTAGGTGGAATGTAGACACCTTAACATCGGGGTGCATGTCGTCCAGGAGTGGTGGGCGTCCCGGAGCATTATCCAAAATTAACAAAATCTTGAATGTAATCCCTTGTTGCAGACAATACACCTTTTCACATATCCGTTGAGACATTGTTACATAACTATTTGACAAATTTCATAACCAAATGACAGAACACATATCGAATGACAATCTAAAATAACTGTTCGTTCATGCTAATGGAAGTGATTGACATAAGTTATGAAGTTGACAGACGTGAACAATAAACCGACAGTCTACATATAGTTTGAGAATGTAACAATTGGAGAATGACATACCACCATCAGATATTTTAGATTGTCATTCGATTATGAAATTTGTCAAATAGTTATGTAACAATGTCTCAACGGATATGTGAAAAGGTGTACTCCTTGGTTCCTGGAATGAAACAAGTCATGAACCAATCCTCAAACAGTACTAGGGTCATCCATGCTTTCTTGTTACTTCGATAAAACACTGGCAGTGTGTGCTTGCTGACATGTTTAAAAGCCCTTGGGTTCTCAGAATGATATATCATGAAGGGCATTATCTTGAAACCAGCTACATTACCCCCCCCAACAGAAGTGTAATTCGGTCCTTGAATGCCTTGAATCCTGGCATTGTTTTTGCCTCTTTGTGGATGTATGTCCGATCAGGCATGCGCTTCCATAATAAGCCAGTTTCATCCACATTGAATATTTGCTCAGGCAAATAATTTCCCTCCACGATGACACGATCTAGCTCCTCCTTAAAAGCTTCGGCAGCACCAACATCAGCACTAGCTGCCTCTCCACTCACCTTTACACTATGTAAACTGTAATGGTTCTTAAACTTTTGGAACCACCCATGACTTGCTGTGAAGGTTTGGTCGCACTCATCTCCTGCCTGCTCCTTCAGGCTTTCGAAAAGGCTTCTTGCCTTAGCCTGTAGGGTTAGAAGGCTTAAGGGTACATGCTTTTGTCTCTGGTCTTCCATCCATATCACAAGTAATTTTTCCATCTCATGAATAGGACCTTGTCCTTTCTTCATTATTATAGTTCCCTTAATAGGTGCTGATCTTTTCACAACCTCACGAATACGTTCCTTGTCCTTCAAAATAGTAGATATGGTCGAGCGCGAAAAGCCTTGGTTGCATTATTATCTTCATTTTCGTCTCAAAAGTAATTGACTGTCTCCTTTTCTTCTGAGCACCACCAGCACTCTCACTTGTACGCTTGCTAGTCATTCTAACGTGAATTAGATACGAAAAAATGTCAGTACACAGCGAGATTAGTTGCGAGAACAACGACAGCCAAACACCAACTAAGCGCTCTACGGCGTGGGTGCTGTAGTCATGAGGCGGCACAACCCAGCCCACGCTACGCTCTCGTAAGGGACGTAAACGTTTCGGTATAGAAAATACTCGAGTCATTTGAAAACATTTTGGTACTGACTGCGGCGGTCGTATATGCGGGTGGTCGTACTGACTGAGGCAGGTCGTAAGTGCGGGTGGTAGTAGGTCGAGTATGTCGTAAGTCGAGGAGTAGCTGTACTTACTTTATCCTCTTTACCAATGATCAGCCTGTTAGCTGCTCGGTGGTCAGTCACATCTCTGATACACTCTCTTGGCAAGTACTGGTCATGCACAAGTAAAAGTAAAAGTACTGAAAAATTTGAGTCCAGTAGTTTTTAAAAAGTAAATACCCAAAAATCTTACTTGAGTACAGTACTCAAGTAAATTTACTTAGTTACTTTACAACTCTGACTCTTGAGGATATGCATATAGAGAGGCCATATATTGGATTGTTCACATAGTTGGGGTTTCTGGCACACTCCATGTGTGTTCATGCGTACGTATCTCTGACGTTGCCACACAACAGGGTTAGCCAGAATTGCTGGCAAAGAACTTTTGACCAGGATTGTACCTCATACACTTGGGCCCAAAGTTCTATGTATGCGTGAGATACAGGCTGATGTTTCCTATTCAAATATCATAGAGCAGTAATGAGCCATATAATGAAGCCATTATATGTTACTAGCACTAATAATTTACCCTCAGAAATTTCAAAGTTGTTCAATTACCTTACGAACACCATGGAGGTTCGACATTTATACAAACACAAATATGGCAGCCTCAAGAGTGATACTGTACCTGTGTGCATGGTAGTTGCAAACATAACATAAACGCATGGCAAAATGAGAAGATATGGTTGAAATTTTGTTTGAAATTAGTAAAATAGAGGAATGTGATGATTATGATGATGATAAAGTTTTCCTTGAGTACCGTAAATAAGCAACCTGTCAACACAGGAAGATGTCAAATAGATGTAATGGCCCAAACTACAGGGTAGTGTACTGCTAAGGAAATAGTAGGAACTGCAGTTCCTAACTAAGGTGTCTTTTCTTCTTTTTTTTTCTTCCATGTTTTAAGGCTTTTAACCTTGTAGAATTCATTTATATGGTGTACAGTACTTGACAAAAAAAACTTAAGCTAGGAGGGATACAAAAATAGATTGAGCTTAGGACTGAAAGCTTTAAATAATTGGGAGTATACAAAAGTTGAAGTTTAACCCTCTCAGCCTCACATGACGCCATTGTGGCGTCAAACATAAAAGGCAAAAAAACTTACGCTCAGCCTTGTGATGCCAACATGGTGTCCAATGGGCTATATTTTCAAGTAACTCAGAAACTATTCAGTGAAACTGACTGAACTTTGGATGCCTTTGACAGACGTCGTTTTTTTTTGGTGTGGGCCTTATCACCTTCCCATAGGCCCTAGACGGTCTTGGTCATTATGTGTGTGACAGTGCAGCATGAAGCCAGTGTCGCTCTGGCCATTAGAGCGGGAGGAGGGTGCGCCGCTCAGCCCTTTAATTATTCCATGAGGTTTTGTGTTTTATTATTTTTCCTTAGACCACGATATTCTACATGCTTTGTTCTTTATTTTGGTATATAGTGCATATCAATGAACACCATAATACAAGGAAAATGTGAATGGAAATCGAGATGTTACTAAACATTTTCCTACTTTTTCAACTTATACTCGAAAAAAGTGGCTTAAATTTCAAGAATTTTCCATTTTTCGTGGTTTCATACAATTTTTCAGACAATTTTACGCTAGAAGAAACCCCATTACAATTAATAAAACAATTCCATGACAGTCAAATGAGCCCCTAAATTTTTTTTTTTCAAAAAAATTTCAGCAAAAACCTCCGAGGCTGAGAGTAAGTTTTCATGCACGTATGTGTCTCAGGCTCCGGGGCTGAAAAGGTTAAATAGGTACAGTGTGAATATGTACAGTACAAGAATGTGTAAGTACAGTACTGCATAGACAAGGGGTGTCCTGTACTGTACTTCATATCTTAATGTAATACAAGATTTACAGTAATATACCTGAGCCTTGACGCTGTAACGACCAGTTCTGGAGTAACGAGTCATGTAGCGGGAGTAAATGCCATCTCCAGCCTGAAAGTCTGCTCCTTGACCATTATCTAATAGTATGTACACCTCATCAGGCTCAGCTTCACCAGGTGGAGTTACCAGGGCTCTACATAAAATGTTATACAATGTACCATTCACTACAAACTGTAACTTCAATTACAATTTGTGTTGAATTAATAGAGCTAGGTAATATGATATTTTAGTACTGTTTGGACATACAGTACAAATATTGTACTACAAAAAGATTATTTTCATATAAATCATTCATAAATGTATAATCAATAGCAAATATCAAACGGGAGGGCTCATACCTGACATCAGCATTGACGACAGGATTATTTCCCTGTTTGACTTCAGCAAAGATGATAACTCTGTCTGTTGAAGCATTGACTTCCCGTGCACCACTGCTCATCTAACAATACCAAAATAATGAAAAACTATAGGATTCCATCATTCATCATATACACATAGTCATAGGTTTACTAAATATAAAGGAAGCAACAATAATCACTGGATATGATACTCCGATATTTAGCATGTTTATTATAAGAGAAGAAATTAATTGCATAAGTCTCTAAAGGAGATAATCACAGGAACATCTTGGTTAATGGATGGGTTAGGGATTAAAGGTTCAGTTCATAAGGTGGTTCTTCAAAACCCAAAAGCTAATTCCCCATAAGAAAAATCTAATTATGGAGGGTTTTTTAAATCATCTAACAAAATGCCAATTTTGCTAAGATTTAAGATACAACAAAGATAACATGACGACAATAGCTGTTTCAGGATAGTTAAATTAAGTTAATCTTTAGTATTTCCTCTCTAAAGAGTCACCACTATTAAAACAATTTGTGTTTATCAACACACTCTTATAAAAATCATAATATTGATTGGTGAGGTAGCAGCAGCGTCTCGTGGAAACATCTGCTTAGCTCACAGAGCACTGTGTGTGACATCAGTCTGCAAGACGTTTAGACGGAGTTGGGAAACATGAATACATATTTACGATCAGTTTATTGCACATCGTAATATGAAAATTATAACTGACTTTATGGTCTAACAGACCCTGTAGTCCATTAGATGGAGGTTTCACCGTCATTACCTAATATTAGTATTCACAGAAAAATATTTTATCTGCTTCATTGATGTTTGTTTCCATTATAATAAGAGTAAACAGTGGTCGTTGAGCAAAGGGGGTGTTCATATACTGTCATCCCCACATTACTGAATCTCTGGTTATGGAATTTTGCCCTTATGGAATTTTAAAAAGTAAACTCTTGATAATTCGGCACATATGAGGCTCTGGCCTTGCCGAATTATCCGAAATTCCGAATTGTCTCGGCACTTCCCTCCTCCAATAATACAAATTTTTTTTGCCCATATATGTGTACTGTACATGTACTAATTTTCAAAACGTAACACATACCAGCACTGCAGGTGAAGAATGAGGCATTGTAATAGGTGACAGAGACATGGTAGGTGACACAACTTTTACTTTTACTTTTATCCTCTTCGCCACTGATCGGCTTGTTAGCCGCTTGGGCGATCGGTCACGTCTCTGATTACTTTTCCTTTTCATTTATCTTCTTCACCAAAAGATCAGCTCGCTAGCCGCCCGGGCGATCGGTCACGTCTCTGTCACGCACTGTTGGCAAATACTGGGCATGCACCGGCTCCTGAATGTACCTGAACCCACTCCAGTGTTGGTCAAGTCTTGTCTTGAAAGAGCTCACACTCGGTGTCATCACAACACTCTCTGGTAGATTGTTCCAAGAGTTTACAACCCTCACTCCAAAAAAGTTTGCCCTCACGGTTTTCTGGACTTGCGGCTTCTTCAATCTTGAGCTGTGACCCCTTGACACAAAGGCATGGTAGGTGACACAGAGGCATGGTAGGTGACACAGAGATATGGTAGGTGACACAGAGGCATGGTAGGTGACACAGAGATATGGTAGGTGACACAGAGGCATGGTAGGTGACACAGAGACATGGTAGGTGATGCAGGGGAATGGTAGGTGATGTAATGGAATAGTAGGTGAAACAGATGGCGGATGTGATGGAGGGGGAACGTTACATAAACAGAGAATAGTGCAGCACTTATGTCCCATTCACAGATATTTGGCTTTAACGATAGTCCTGAATTAAAACCATCTCGCTATATACAATAAAAAAATTCACTTTAACCATATCCATCGATATCCATTGGTTGGAATATTTTTTATCTCTAATGCAAACAATTGGTGGTATACAGTATTACTCCTCTTTACGCGTTTTTTTTACGCATTTCTACGTTTACGTGGTACCCTGCCAGACCCGAAATGTTCACTTTACGCGGAGAGCGGCTGACGGTCATCTCGCGCAGTGCCATTTTTAGATTCAAACCTCCCGCCGTCTCTCCCGCCATATTGGGTAAGCGGTGCGAGTAGGTTGCGCAGTGTATGTCTTTGTTGCGTTATCGGTGATGTCATATGAGGTATCGGACTGTGATTGGGCCAAGCATCCTTACCTCCCTCCCCGCTAACTGTGATTGGTTTAATGTAATATGACGTGCCCTGCTGCGGGAGCGATGAAGCCCGTTGACCTACCCGCGTCAGTTACACCCCTTCCGCCTACACCGTGTATATCGGTATCTATTGTTCCATAAGAATGGCTGCCACCGGACCACCACCACTACCACAAAGAAACCTTGCATTACCTGAACCCAGCCTCCCTAAGCCAAAGATGATACGACGTGCCCTAAGCTACGAAATTAAATACAAAATCATCCAAGAGTTGGAGAAAGGAACAAGACAGGTTGATTTGGCACGCCAGCATGGTGTGAACGAATCTACGATCCGGACAATTAAGAAGGATGCAGCCAAGATAAAAGAACAGATGAACATCACAAAGTCTACAGGTGCTTCTCTGATCAAGTATTGCCACAACAAGGTGCTTCTCAAGACAGAGAAATTACTTGTGAGCTACTTGATTCGTCAGGCAAAACGGAACATGGCGGTCGACACGCACACAGTTCAGGAGTACGCACGTGAACTGTGCACAGCAGTGTCATGTAAGATGGGAATTGCAGAGCCCAAACCCTTCAATGCTTCCTCTGGGTGGTTGCAGAGGTTTAAGAAGAAGAACAAGATCACCAACATTAACATTGGTGGTGAAGAAGCTAGTGCTGCCCGTGTTGCGGCTAGGGATTTTCCTCCGATTTTACGTGAGATTATGGAGGAAGGACAGTACACCGACGACCAGGTGTTCAACATGGACGAATCCGGTCTCTTTTGGAAAAAGCTACCTTCCAAGACCTTCGTTGTCAAGACTGCCAGCAAGTGTCGGGGCCGGAAGTTGCAGAAGGAGCACATCACCGTCCTGTTTACCACCAATGCCTCCGGTACTTGTAAGCTCAAGTTATCGGTGACCCACACAGCACACAAGCCGCATGCCTACAAGAGCATGGACATGACCAAGCTAAATGTCCACTGGCTGACCACACGTAAGGCGTGGATGTTCTCTATTCTGTCCCTCTCCCGGTTTGATGACTGTTTTGTTCCCGACGTGAAGAAATTCTGTGAGCAACAGAATGTTCCATTCAAGAATTTGTTGCTGCTTGACAACGCACCAGGACACTCGCCCCTACTGTTGGATCGTCACCCCAACTTAAAAGTGGTCTTCCTTCCTCCCAACACTACGTCATTATTCCAGCCCATGGACCAAGAATGAATCTGCAATGTGAAAGCTGCATTCTCTGCAAAGAAGTTTAAGCTCCTGAACGACTATACCAACACCAAGGATGAGTTGTGTAACCTGGGTGACACCGATAGCAAAAGCGAAGAGGACAAGGAACAACAGTTGGCAGAGCAAGAAGTACTTGCGAAATACTTTTGGAAGAAATTCAATGTCAAGAAAGCTGTGGACTTCTTGGTGGAGGCATGGAATCAGCTGTCTGTAGCAACAGTTCGTCACACATGGAGACATATGTTGCAAAGCATCCCAGGTGGGAGGCAGAGTCAATCTGTGACTGGTGAGGTTCAGACTGTTGCAGTAGCAGTGGACCTTGCCAGAGAAGCTGCTCAAAGTGTTACAGTTTAAGGCTTCTCCGAGACCACCAACGACAACATTGTGGAGGTGATAAGGGATCCTGATGTGACTGCCGATGAGATGTTAGAAGATGATGACGTCAGTGAAGAGGCAGGTGGTGCGTCATCCCAAGAAGAACGCAAGTTATCGCATGGTAATGTAAGGGGTGCCATCGAGTGTGTAGAGAAACTGAAGCTCCTCCTTTCCGACGACCCTGACGATAACCGGTATGAAGTCTTCACTACCAAGCTGTTGCAGATTATGGAAACCTACATCAAGGTGTATCACGACAACATCAACACTAGCCGTCAACAAAGCATTACCGAGTTCTTCGCCCGCAACTCACCACAGCCAGCCCAAGCCAGTGATAGTGACAGAGACAGTGATGGTAACTTTGAGGGATTTGTCAGGGAGGCCCTGATAAGTGTGGATGACAGTGATGGTGACTCACCTGAGGGCCAGTAGCCTGCCCTCTGCCTCGGAACCAAGCTCCATTCCCGTACGACGACCCATCTCTTCTACTAACGTAAGTGTTAAACCTAACCTTGATTTTTTCTAACCTAACCTACAGTATATTATTCTCTTATTGATATTTCTCTTCTATATTATGTGTGTGTGCATACCATCATAAAGTTAAGATGTTATTTTTACTAAAACGTACGTATTGTGTCGGGAAAAAGTGGAGTTTGGGGTTCGGCCCAGTCTCTATTTCAATTAATCCCATATGTTCTGTTGTTCACTTTACACAGGCCTCCGTGGGTTCAATTGACCTCGTAAAGCGAGGTATCACTGTATACTCAAATTAATTGTTGTCTCACAAGGATTCCAGCCATGCAAATTATATATATCTATGTCAAGTCAGTGACATTTTATAAGGAAACAATATTTAACCCCATGAATTACCACAGGGAATGCATCTCTTGCTGCACTTAGCAGCTGCGGCAGTATCTACCCACGCACCGCCACATGGCCAACCCATGCACTACAGTACTGCACTTGGTTCCTTGTTGATCACATCTGTCCGTCATCGTGTAGCTCCATGATTTTCATTCAGTATCGTTGGCACTATGTACACTCTCCCCAAAAAAGTATTGACCCCTTTTCTCATTGATACAATGTGTCACAATGAACAAATATTTCCGATCACTAATTTTGATTCCTACATTATGTTGATAGACCTGCCTTCCTAGTATCTGTGAGGTTGCCAATTATTATATCTGGCATTTGTTGTAATTATGGTGAATCACCGTGCTCCATCTTTAGCAGAATAATATAATGATATTAATGTTACAATAATATATCAATGGCAGTCAAATAATGGGTGTTTTCTGCTAGAAATACATGACCAAC